AGTTAGCATTTACTAATTACTTATTGCATTTGAAACAGATAGATGTAGTAAAAGTTCCGAAAGTTTCCAAAAACATCATCAAGCTGGTTATTGAACAATAAACCACCAAGAAATTATTAAACAAAGTTATAAAATTGTCTAAAAAAAAATCTGATAATTTCCTGCCACCAATACTTCAAAGATGCCTACTCATGCACAAGGGTAATCAAAATAAAGTGTGCATTGTTTGTTTTTGATAAAGACAAAACAATTAAAACAAGTAACTTAAGTAACTATTTACTAAGATTTAATTATTAAATAAATAATTAATTATTATAATTAAATATTAGGTATTAATAATTAATTAGAAATTAATTAGAGATATTTAATAGAGAAATTACTAGACCAACCTATAAAAGACTTTAAAATTATTTCATCTTAAATTTGGATAAAGAATGATGAACATTATCTTACTGGTATCTGTTCTTGTGAATAAAAATGTTGCAAAACTCTTGAGGTCTACAGTACTAAGACTTAGTTTTATGGTTCTGAGGCCAGCTGGTAGTCAGGTTTCCCAAACTCTGTGGTAGCTCTCAGAGAGGCTGATTCCATCAACAGGTGTAAAATATTAAAGTAATAAGAGTGCCATGTTGCGCATGGATAGTGTCTCTGTTCATACTTTTGGTGAGCATTGTTGTGACGCTTTGTTATGGCTTAGGGTTTATTAGTTGTAATGAGGCAATTGCTTTGACTATTAAATAGTGTACTGAGTAATATCTGTGCTTTGAGTCAAGTTCTTTAACAAATTTAAAAGTGACTAAAGTGCCAAAAACTATAAAATACAAAAAATCATTGTCATCACCAAGATCTCTAAATCTGTCATTCACTAATATTCATGGTCTTCAAAGTAAGTTTTCTTCTGTTGAATGTTATCTCTTGCAAAGTTCACCAGACTTACTGGCTTTTTCTGAGACTAATTTAAGTTCATGTTTTGTCTTGTGATTTTAGTGTTGAGGTTTAATTCTTAAAGGCTCCAATAGTTACATTTTTGCCCTGGGCATTTACATTTGTAAGAATTACAATTTATTGAACAGATTTGTCGGGAAACTAGGTTTGAATCCACAGACTATTCTTTTATATGCTTTTGTTTAGCACCATTTCATTCTATTACTTTTCTTTTTGTTCTATATTCTGCTCTTTTATCTCAAGACTGCGTTCTTTTTGGTGTTATTTCTGATCAAATTGACCAGGTCCTTTCTCTTTATTCTTTGCCAATGTTATTGTTGTTGGTGACTTTAATGCTCATCACACTGAGTGGCTTAGTTATAGTGTCAGTGCAGGTATTCTACAGGCATTCAGGCACTCTGCAGGCATTAAAACCCACAACTTTTGCTTATCAATCTTTCACACAAATAATTTACACCCCAACTTGCTTTGCAGACAATCCGATTAATTTACCTTCTCTATTCAAGTTATGTCTTGTTTTTGATCCTAGTCAGTGCTCACTTTCTCCACATTGACCCTTAGGTGTTGCTGATTATGCTATGATCTCTCTAAAACTATTTATATCCCATTCTTCTTCATTATTAGAATCTCCTTCTTACAACTGCCTTGGATCTGACTGAAACTCTTTCCGTGATTTTCTTCGTGAAGATCTTTGGGCAGTAATCTTTCGTCTTTCTGCAGAAAAATGTGCTTTTTAAGTAACTTCTACGATTCAGGGTGGCATGGAATCTTTTATTCCCTCTCAACGATTACAAGTCAAGCCTCACTCTTTTACATAGTTTTCCTCTCATTGTGCTGATGCAACTGCAACAGATTGTAACCATTACTTTTATATCTGTCAGTAAAACAGTTTTCCAGAAAACAGATGTTTGCTTACTTTTGCTAGAAACCATTGTAAAAAGGTTCTGCTCTAAAGCTCATTATTCACAGGTCTCGAAATCTTGTTTCAAAAATTTTATCTCAAAAATTAGGCTCTTGTGAATTCTCAAGAATCTTTAATAGTATCTATAGAACGGACAAATCTGTTACTCCACCTTTCTTGTATGGTTCAGATTTTGTCGCCCCACCTAAAGACAAAGCTGAATTGTTTGCTATGAACTTTTCATCAATATCTCTTTATTCTACTAGTTCCATTCTACCTGATATAGCTGTCAAACAGTTTAATCCATTGCTTGATGTTCGTATCACTCCAACTTCTGTATTTAAAGCAATTTCCTGCTTAGACTCTTCTACAGCTTATGATCTGGACAACAAACCTGTTATAGTCTTGCAAAAGCGTTTTACGGAGCTGTTGTGGTTGTCAAGACTATAACCTTAACCTGAGTGGTTAAGGTTATAGTCTTGACATTTCTAAAGCCTTTAATAAAGTTTGACATGCTGGTCTTTTCAAAGCTGATAAAAAGACCAGCAGTCAGCAGACCAGTTCACTGGTTATAATACCATTTCTTCTTGTCTTGAATAGAATCCAACACTTTCTGATTGCTTGGAAGGGGCATTTGAGCTTGAAAAAGATCTCAAATGATGCCCTTCAAATGATGCCCTTTCTCTTTTAGACAAGGTACAAAAACGCATTGTAAGCATAGTTGAGCCTGCTCTTGCAGCCAACCTTTGATCCATGCTACATTGTCATAATGTTGCTTCTCTTTCTCTTTATTATTAATTTCTCTTTATTCTCTTTATTCTCTTTATTATTAATTCTATAACTAGCTGTCATGACCCGTAAAATAGGGGTCTTAGTAAATTTATTCCACATCGGCCTTTTCTATATTCATTCCTAACTTCAATATTTTGTAGTGAGCTGTGAAAAAATAGCTATATACATATAGAAAAACTATACTTATTGATTCCTTCTTAAAGTTATGAAAAATAAAAACTTCTATTATAATTAAATTTAAAGATTTTTAAATGTTGCGTAAATCGTGGATTGGATATTAGTACCTGTCCCCACTAAATTCCCACTTAAAAGACTTAAAGCTGCCTGAAACTCTTTGCGTGATTTTCTTCGTAAAGACCTTTGGGTAGCAATCTTTCAACTTCCTGCAGAAAAATATTCTTTATCTGACCAGACCCATAAAAATACGGGTCTTTGTAAGTCTCTTCCACATCAACTTTTTCTATACTTTTTCTTTATATGTATATTCTAGCTTTCCAGACAAGTAAAATACAGGTTTTTACCAAACTGACCATTTCTATACTAATTTATTCCACACAGATCATTTCTTACTAACTTTAATATTATTAAGTAAAATAAAGTAATTCTAAAAACTTCTAAATAAAATTGCTTTAAGCGTAGGCCCAGACAGAATTAAAGTAACATGTGCACCTTTTTCCGTACGGATCTTATAAGAGTATCTTATATAAATGGATCTTATAAGAGATTTATAAAATAGTTTGTTTTTCTCCTAAACAGAGAAATTCTATTCCACATTGATTTTGTCTGCATTTCTCCTTCTAATATTTTTTTAGTGAACATGATTATGAGCTAAAATAAAAGTTCATTCACAAGTTCACATCCACCTATTCTATATACTTAGAGCTTATCAAAATCTTTACCCCGTATATTTATTTTAAATGACAAATTCTCAAGTTAATTACTAAAAAGGAATTTAAGTAAGAAAATCATCTCTTCACAATGTTAGATGTCCAGAATTAACATAATTAAATATGTTAGACACTTAGCATCAATAACTTTAAACAAACAATTGCAAAACATTTACCGAAAAAGAGTTTATAGTAAAACTTTTACCCTCTCATTAAAATAATATTTATTTGCAAAACAAAGAACCAGTTAACAGGTTATGGGGAGGTAGGCATGCATGGGGAGCTAGGCATGTCAAATAAATTAAATTGATCTGTTTTTTTTTGTATAAAACAAAAACAAAAAAACTATATGTAAAGTACTTGATGTAAGGACCAATAAGATTGGATCTTGATGTAAGGACCAATAAGATTGAATAATTCAATACAAAGTGATTGAAAATAAAACTAAGAAAATACAAATTTTTTAAAATGTATTTACAACATATATATTTACATTAAAATTAATATATTTACAAAAATCAGATAAACAAAAACAAAAACAGAAAAAAATGATAAAAATTACCTACGTTTGATTGTTGGCCATACGTATGGCCACGTCATGTTAGTATGCACAACACACTACCTTATACAACTGCCAGGGGTGCTCTTGGAGAGACTAAATAAATTAAAGTTTAAATTATCTCAAGCGAAGCACTTCAACGACTTTGGCATATGGTATCATCTTTTAATAATGTTTAATAAGCAGAAGACTTATTAAACTTTATAAAATGGCATATAAATGCTTTAAAAGAGTTATTGCTGCAATGAAATTTTTAAGTAAAAGTAAATCTGTAAAATTTTATGTAATTTACTTTATAATAATACTGATTACTAGTTAAAGAACTTGAACTTTACATATTTAGATAATTGCATAGGATTTGTTCACATAGATAAAATACAAATCATTACGGATTGTGGTTTCAAAAAAAAGGTTAATATACTACCGTTCATAATTATTTGAATGGTCATATTTTTTGATATAAGATATCAGAGTTGGGAGAAAAACTGAAAACAATATTTACCTGAACTATCTTCGTATTCATTAGGTTTACAAATAAAATTACCCTGATTAGTTTATGATTTATTAAAAACCCTGATTAGTCTATAATTTGCTTGCCTATTAATCACCCTTAGCAACAATAACTGCCATATATATTCTTGGAATTCTATCTAATGACTTATCTAAGTATTCAATTTTATGTAACTAAGTTTTTTTGAAAAAAAAAATACACCACATGTATTAACTGTAAATAAATTTTTTTATACATAATAAAAAAACAAAATATATAAAAAGTTACAAAAAAAATTAAACTACTAACAAAAAAACTATTAAAAAAATTAAATCTTCAACTAAAAATTGACAACTACAAAAATATTAATTATAGATATAGCGTATTTTATCACCGCTACCTCTTTTTATATTTTATTTTTTACAGGATCCAAATTCCTTATTAAAAAAAGAAAAAAGAAAGGTGAGGAAGAGTGAGCTTTTGATGGATAATCACAGCACAGTCACAGCAGTAAATTATTTTAATACTTTGCATGTTCTACTGACTAAAATTTTGTAGAAACAGAATCTTTTCTACAAAAATTTTTTAAAAACATAACTTAATATTAAAAAAAAAAGAAACAACATTTGAAATTGAAAAAAACTTTTTTTAAATTTCAAATGTTTTAAATTTCTAAATTTTTTATAAAGTAAATTTAAAAGAATTATTTAAAGTAAATTTAACTTTATAAAATCTAACCTCAATATTAACTACCACCAGACAATAACAATGTACTAAATAATTAGATTCATAAAAAATATGATTGAATACCTAAAATCAAATATAAAATTTTTTAAAACAACAACTTACTTTTATTTAAATAAAGGTTAATTTTTTATTCTGTTAAATTAAAAGTCTTTCAATGTTCAATACATCACCTAATATTCAATACATCACCTAATATTCAATACATCACCTAATATTCAATACATCACCTAATAAAACAGAATGTTTCATTAAGTAAAGCATTAAAAAATAAAACTTTAGTAACTTCAAAAACAGATTTAAAAATACATACTACTTATAAATAAAAGTATTTTTTATATTGTGGTTTTATATAAATAGAAGTATATTTAGTACCATTGTAATTTATACCATTTATGATAATGATAATAGAGGATTCTAAGATATTTCAGGAAATACAAAACTTACCGCATGCTCATCAACAATGCCTCATGCATTATCAGTTATTAGCGGTTCAAGTTGACTCTTCCAATATTACACGGTATTATATTATTTTGATAGTTATCTAAATTCTGTCATTGTTGAGCACTCAATTTAGAATGTTTAGTGGAGGGGTTGTAAAATAACTATTTTTAATAATTGTTAACAAAAGTGTATTTCTTTATTATCTTAATATTAAGTAAATTTAAGTTTTTATTATTTAAAAACGCATAACAATTTCATAGTTTTTTTTTAAAAGTGTTTTATTTTTAAATAAGCAATAAAAAATAAAAAAAGGGTTCCAATGATAGGACTTGAACCTTAATCTCCTTCATTATGTTGACGCGCTAACCACTTGGCCACATTGGCACATACTTTATGTAAATTTTAGAATTATTATACAAAAAACAAATGACTTAATAAAAAGGAAATAAATGCTATAGATCAAAATTAAAAAGATGTCGCAATGCAAGTAAAACTGTAAAACATGATGTTACATATTTATTATTACATAACTTGATATTACATACATAATAAAAAAAACATTAAACCTTCATTTAAAGATACACTTTTGTTAACAATTATTAAAAATAGTGCTGTGACACTTTCTCGCCATTACCTTGCTTGCAATGGCTATTAAGGGTTCTGTGTCAAAATCGCTCGAAAAGGTACTATCAAGTATTATTATAAAGATGGGCACTGCTTTAATGAGCTAGTGTATTTTGTGCCATCTAATAAAAATAATTCTCATGTTACTTGTCATTCAATTAAGTCTCATCCTTTTATTGTGCCTGTTTCTAAGTGCTCCAAAAATTCTTATTCATATGCTTTTTTTCCTCAAACATCAGTTCTTTGGAATTCGTTCACTTTAGTTTTTTAGAGCTTTAAATGGATAAGCAAACAAGTTGAGAAAATTATCATTATAGCTATAGTTCAAGATGTCAAAGAGAGACACCACAATATCAAAAAGAGACATCACAACATCAAAGAGAGACACCACAACATCAAAGAGAGACACTACAAAATTAAAGAGAGACACAAAAACATCAAAGAGAGATGCCACAATATCAAAGAGAGACACTACAATATCAAAGAGAGACACCACAATATCAAGCAGGTGGTAGACCTATTGGGGGTTGCAACAGATAATTATTTTTAATTATTTGACTTAAAGCTTACTAATATTTATTGTGGCATTTAAGAATCCTCTACTCACCCCTACAGTTAGTGTTAACTGTCAAAGCATGGTAGCAGGATATCACTTTGTATGATCACAATATGTGATCATACAAAGTTTTTTTTTTCAGTACAAAAAAAGCTTGTGAAACTCACAGAAAAAAAACTCTTTTCTGCAGCCTTCAAGGATTGACCAAAATTCTTTGCTAGAAATTTTGCAAAACCAAATGATTTCCTTGTTTCAGAAATCCTCTCTTCAATGGAACTTTACTTACTTTATAAAGTTTGATAAGTCGAAATTGTACAGTGAGCAGTTCAAGGGAGAACAGTGTTCAAAGGTATTGGATAACATAGAAACATAAATCTGAGCTTGATGTTTGATAAATTAAAAAAAAGGTATTGGATAACATAGAAACATTAGACAATATTCTTAAATCTGAGCTTGATGTTGTACCTGATAAATTAAGAATGCTTACATGTGCAACGACAGCTCTAAAATATATGAAGAAACCTTTTTTTGATTTTAGTTTGGTCATATCATAGAAGGATCACACCAATGCCTGCAAGAAAGCATATATTGTATTGAAACAAAATCTCCTAAGATGCTTACTTTAGTTATCCATGGCTGACAAATGGTTTTTGGTTTTTGGTTAGAACAGAGTTCTGAAACTGTTTAATTTCAAACAGTTCTATGAGCAAGTTTACAAAATTCCAAGTTATCAAAAACTGTATCAATTGAAACTGCTGATGTCAGTTATTAATTATTATCAGTAGATTTTCATTTCAAAATTTACATATTTCAAAATTTATTTGAAGACATTTATGTTTAAAGAAGACTCGCATATATTTTATATAAATTTTTTGTTTTAATTATATCTTATATTGAATTAATATTTGTAGCTCTTATGTACAAAAATATAACATATTTGAATATTAAATCTCTATATGATTTCATGTGATAATTAAACAGCTATATATATATATATATATATATATATATATATATATATATAATATATATATATATATATATATATATACATGTATATATATGTATATATATATATGTATATATATATATATATATATATATATATATATACATACATACATACATATATATATATATATATATATATATATATATATATATATATATATATATATATATATATATATATATATATATATATATATATATATATTTATATGACATTAATTTAATAACAAATAAATAATTAGTATAAATTAAAACAATGAATGCTAAGTAATTTAAAAACTATGGCAACAAAGTAAAAAATTTTTAAAGGTATAAGTAATAAAAAAAAAAATTAAAATGAAAAAGAGCTTTTCGATGATGTTCTACTACATGTAAAAATTTTCTCTTCTTTAATTAGTAATAGTAGTAAAAGATGTTGCATAGTCTTGAATTAGTTTGACAGCTCATTTACAAGTATCATATACAGATCTCAGTGATTTAATATGCTCACACCTTAAATATTTGATAAATGTTTTAAGAGCAGCAATAGCAAAATCATTTTCAATTTTGTTATAAATAAGTATTTCTTTTTAGAGTTCCAAGTCATTAAATGGTGCCTCAATTGTGTTTGTACATGAAAGCCACATTTTCACATAAAAAAACATTGTAAATTTACAAAACATTTATAGTTACTCTATATAAGATTGTTCATACTCATACAATTCAGCAAAAACAAATATTTTTTGATGTGTACCAAACTGTACTCATCCATTTAGCATAATGAAAGACCCCAAGTTTTGTTTTGTATTCAGTAATAGCAAAGCAAGTTCATTCTTAATAATCATCTCTTAGTACTTTTTCAAGATTTTCTGTGATGTAAACCAGACAAAAAAATTATTACTTTTGATTATTATTTAAAAAATTATTGCTTTTAATTTTTCTTAAGGTGATGCTTGAAATTAAGGATAGTTCTTTCTAAGATATGGTACTACAGGCACACAAAAGTAACTTTTTATTGAGGTGTTCTTCAATCATTTTTGTAGAATCATTTATACAACCTGAATTTGATAGATTTGTGTCAAAAAAAAATTGCCACAAGTGTTTTGTATAGTTTCCAGTTCATTAAAGCATTTATGGTTGCGGTTAACTGACTTCTCCCAATTGTATCAGAAACCCTGGACACACACAAAAATTTTCTCTCAAATGCACTTGGTTTTCTATTAGTATTATAGCCAAGAGTCCTTTTTTTTAATATTACAAATACCAGCTTTGAATCCCAGAGAATGGAAGAGTACATGGGTAAAAGTGAATGTTTTTTTTTAATGTTATTTAAAACTTGCTGTTGCATTTTGTTACCTGACCTTTTTGAGATTTTTTTAATACATTTTATGCTTAAATTACTAAAATTACTAAAATAGCTAAAATGATCCCAAAATCTTTCTGTTGGATAGATTCAACCTATCGCCATTAAAAAGGGTGTTTTAATACCTTGATTTTTTTTTTCTGTCTAGTAAAGTATCATATATTTTTTATTGGAAATTTTGATTTTATCAAATTACGCGCTCAACTCGTTTCTCCGCGCAGCGGCCTTGTTCATCAAGGTTTGTGTTTCGGAGTTATAGAGTTGAGAATGGGTTATAGCCACAAATAAGTAGCCTCCTCGTCTGTAGTGGCCTTCTCGGCCTTGAGGAGGTGAATTAAAATAAAAAATAAAAAATAAAAAAAAAAAAATTCTGACAGGACTTTTGATCTTTGTTTTATTTATTTTCTTTTCTTGATTTTTTATTTTTAATGGCTTCAATATTCAATATCAGCTCTTTTCTTTTTACTTTCATAGTATAACTCTTATCTTATGGACCCAAAACTTACTTTTTTAATTGACACCGATTTGAGAGAAAATTTTCTCAAATTAATATTACTCATATCAAAATGAACATTTTTTTACAAATGTTATTTGAAAAAAAAATTTTTGGACAATCTAATATATATATATATATATATATATATATATATATATATATATATATATATATATATATATATATATATATATATATATATATATATATATATATATATATATATATATATATATATATATATATGTGTGTGTGTGTGTATATACATGTGCATACATGTATTTATGCAAAATGTACATATGTAATTTAGGTTCATGACATTATACTGCTTCAACCCATGAAAATTTTTCTTTTTTCTATTCTTGCTGCACTTGCTTCCAAATCTATAGTTAGCAAAGAAAAGTTTGTCCTTTACATGCAAGGTAATTTTTGATTTATTTGATATAGTTTTTTATGGTTTTTTTTTAAAGTAATTAAAATTTTATTTAAACATGTGTATATACGTGAGTGAGTATATACATATATATGTATATATATATATATATATATATATATATATATATATATATATATATATATATATATATATATATATATATATATATATATATATATATATATATATAAATACAGTGTTTCAGTAAAATTTAGAACCGCTTACATTTTTTTTTAACACTCGACAGAAAAACTTGAATAGAAATTAAACTGATTAAGATTTTTCAGTTATTTTTTTTTTATTTTATTAAATAAGGTATGTTTTATAATTTAAGTAAAAAAAAATCACAAAAAAATATAAAAAATAAAACAAAAATGAAAGAAAACAAGTGAACAAAAATGAAAGAAAACAAGTGAAACAAAAAACAAAGAAAACAACAAAAATGAAAAAAAACAAGACATAAAAAAAAGGTAGCAAAAAAAATCAGTTAAATATAGCACATTTCAAAAAAATTCAAATTTCAATATTTAAAATGACCACCACAGGGCTTTATACATGAAAGAACTCTCCTAGGCTTTTTTAGAAATTTTTTTTGTAACATATCCCTTATATAGTTGTAAACAAATACAAAAAATTTCAAATTCAAAAATTAACAACTTTTTATATGTGATTTCAAAGTCATGTGCTAAATTTAATAGATAATTTATATCAGCTTAGAAAATTACCTCTAATTACTTAGTCTTAATTTAAATCCAATTAGCGAGAGGCCCAAATACTTACAACACTCGAGAGCATGCAGTATTTTTTTGTCATAGCAATGCAAGGTCCATTAAAAAATAACCAACTGTGCTTTCAATTGTATTAATTTTTAATATAATAAGAACTTATTAGGAGACAGTAGTTGTGGGATCTTGGGGGTTAGGGGAAGGATGGTAGGAGGGTAGGTATTTGGTGTACATTTTCAACATGATTATAAATAAAAATAAATAATTCATTTTTATTGCACATCATCAGATTAATCCACTATTTCTTGTATTTTGTATGCTGTACAGGAACTTATTTTAAAATGATGAAATTCATTAAATGAACTGATTTTTAACATTATAATGTATGTACTATTTATAATGTTTAAATCATATCATATATCTTATACAATGAACAAGATAATATTTTATTTTATAAACTTGTATGACATACCTGTTTATAAAATAATAATTGCTAACTTTTTGTTTTTACTTATAGCTGTTGAAAGCATCAAGAATACTTCAAATTTTGCTTTTGATTTTGGTGTTGAAAGTCTTCTTGTAAATATCTCCAAAAATGGTGAACAAGTGAACAATTCATCAATTCTTCATGACTATTATTTTTACCTAGTATCCCTTAACTTTAAATTTCTTTATTTCTTCGTTTGCTTTTGATATCCAAAGCCAAAAGATGGAAACTGTTAGGTGGAAAAGGATTTTCCTGCCATTAGTGCAATGTATTTGTTATAGAAATTCTCTCATTGTGCAAACTTCAGTAGTTCATTCTCTGTGTCAAGAATTTCTTCTGGTTCTTATTTTTCTTTAGCTCTACTTGCTTTTGGTGAAACTTTTTATCAATGGATTTGTAAAAATAAAGACAAAACTATTATTGTCCATTCAAACGTACTCTGTTGTATCAAGATTTAACAAAACTTTTATCAAAAATTTTGTTCAATCATAATAGAGTACAATATAAAGCGTTTATTAAAATCACGTAAACCATGTATCTCAAGAAATCTACTTGGTCTGTGTTAAAGTTTCGCAACATATAAGCACTTAACTCGAAGGTATTTCTCCAAAAGAATTTAAAAAGAACTAACAGTGGAACAAAATCAGTTACTAATATAGATCGCTAAATCGCCTCGTTAATATGATATGCAATTGTCCATACTAGCCTATTAAAACAGGATGCTTTAATAAACACTTTATATTGTACTCTATTTATTATGATTGAACAAAATTTTTGATAAAAGTTTTGTTAAATCTTGATACAACAGAGTACGTTTGAATGGACAATAATAGTTTTGTCTTTATTTTTACAAATCCATTGATAAAAAGTTGCTTCTTGTCATACAATATGTATGTTGTCATAGAGGAAAACACTCTTGTAAGTTGAACCTAAATCTCTGAGGTTGCAGTTATCAAAATCCATCTTTTACAAACACTAACATCATCAAATTTCTCCTACTAACATTTACACCATTATTAAATAAAATAAAATCCTCTTTTATCCTTTCCTCTCACCTTAGCTTTTACACCATTGTCAACATGGTTTCATTGCCTCTTTTAAATACTGTAGGGCTTCTTGTTATATCAACAATAAATGTAACCTAATAATTTCTTTACTTTTATTGTTGTATCTAGATCTGAACAGAATAGATTATTATCAGACAAAAAAAAGTTCTATAATAAAACTGTTAAAAAGTAAGTAGCCTCCTTGCCTGTAGTGGCCTTCTTGACCTTGGGAAGGTGAATTTACAAAAAAAATTTACATAAAAGGTTATTTTTGTTCGGCACATATGTCTTATGGCATTTTTGTTTTTGTATAAGGTTTCCAATTTGATTAGCCATAAATGATTTGAGTGTTCTTCTCTGATTATGTATCCACCAGATCACATTCATCCAAAAAATCACGATGATGACAACAGGTTTCTGAAAAACTATGTATTAGTCTCACTGCACCAAGAAGTTTTATTTGTAAAATGCTTATAGTGGATTGGTTTGCCTCTCTTGACCTAATTCAATAAACTTGATGGAACTTTTACCATCCTTGTATTGATATCTTACAAAAATCACAGCTTGATATGCAATATCTGATGTATGTAACTTGTATGTTACTAAACCATGTCAACCATGAAATAAAAAATGAAGAGTTGTTAAATACAAATTGCTATTTTTATGTTTTTCAAATCTTTAAACTCTTGAATTTAACTGCTATTTGAGACCGTTCAGGATCTAGCTATTCACCACATCCTATTCCACTGGACCACATCTATTGTAAAAGTATCTTTGCTCTCTATCGTTTAATCATCACTAGTATTTTACCATTTAATTCTAGTTCTCTTGCAATGTGGTTATTTACATGTCTGTGTTGTGCTTGTGCCATTCAACAAGGCATTGACAATAAAGTTCATTCCACCATTTTTTGGCATAGTTTTTTTTTTTTTTTTTTTTCAACATCTTTGCTTCCAACAAGGCTGCAAGCAACCAATATTATATTATTACCAACATTTAATTTACTCCTCATTTGTGCTAGTCTTTAACTGATGAGACTTTTTTCATATGCGTGTTACATGTATTGACTGGACTTGATTTGTTTAGCAATTTGTTATTTGTTTTCTCCCCATTATGCCAAATATTCTAGTTACAGTACTAAGACTGTGCTGGTTCCCAGGCATTGATAACATAATTGGTAACACTTAGCTATTTTCCATTTATCTAAATTGAGCACAATTTTACTTGTATGGTTTAATTTACAAAGGTTTTGTATAATTTAATTTAAAAAATGAACATTTCAGCCATATTTTTTTTCAAAAGAGAATTAATCAGTTTTTTAAATCCAACAGTTTGTACTGTATAATCCATAAATAATTCAGTTGCAGCATTTTTAAAAATCTTTAATGATAAACTGTTACAGTGTTTTAAAATTTTCTTCCTTTGTATTTTCAAAGACACAATGTTGATAATTTCCTTTGTATTTTCAAAGACACAATGTTGAGTTTTCACTGCTGAGTGTTTTGTAAAATTTCCCATAACCAAGCACGTTTTAAAGGTTGCTAACTGCAATGTCCAATAAGTCAGCAAATTTTTCTGGATCTTTGGGATGGTTTTCTCTTATTGAATAGTTTTTTGCAACAATTTCTTGTAGTATTAATCTTTATCATTTTTTCTAATTTTTTTTTTTTTTTTTTTTTTTTTTGCTGCTTCATAAGCAGAGTGATCCAATTTATTTTGTTAAAGCTGCATTAGATGTGTATTGTTGTAATTGCAGAAATTTCAGAGTTGTAAAAGCTTGATCTACACATGCCTTAAATACTGACTTCCAGTTTTCATAATTACGTTAATCACCGTTAAGTTTCTTACTGTCAATACAAAACTCTCTTGATAAATTGTATCGCATTTCTTGCTTTCTTGTAATTACTTTATTTTTCAGGGTGTTAACTTTAATGATTAAGGAAAAAATACATTTGCATTTGATTTACTGTTAAAAACATACAGTTTTTTTTCATAAATGATTTAATAATGATTGAATTACATATAATTTACATATAATGAATTATATATAATAAAATATTTGATTGATTTACATATAGTTTGTATAGACTATATGTAAATCAATCAAAATATATGTATGATATTTTACTATTTTACTTTTTACTGATAACTACACAACTACCTGTGCAACTTCAATCTATTTTCAATAATACACAGGATAATCATCAGTTCACTTTTTCAAGGCATTGACAAATATTTGCTTGTATCTATTATAGATTAACTATGAAATTTTTAAAAACATTTCATCAAGTTTTGAAATTTTTAAAAAGTAAATTGGTTAATACAGTCTATTTTTTTGGATAGAGTTATTGGTAATAAATAAATTAGATAATTAAGTTAGTGTGCTTGCGTATTTTTAGATTGTGTAAGAAGAAGTCTGTTATAACTTTTTATATTTTTTTTCCTCAATAATGCTTCTTTTACATTGATTGTCTTTTTCTTTTTCATTGATTGTTTACATTTTTATTTGATTATCTATTAAAGGCATCTCTGATTTTTATTTTTTCATTAAATGAGTTTTTATTAATTATTTTATTATTATTAAAGTTCTCATTAACAATCTGATGTATGAATGAAATTTGTGTTTAATCCACTTTTTCTTTTTACATTGTGTGTACTTTAATCCACTTTACTTGCACATTGTGTGTACTTTAATCCACCCTACTTGTACATTATGTGTACTTTAATCAATCTTACTTGTACATTGTGTATATTTTACTCCTCCTTACTTGTATATTGTGTGTAATTTACTCTTCCTTACTTGTATATTCTGTAAACACCAATTCTATTAACCTATGCATGGAATATAAAATGTATGCTATAAACTGATAGAAAATTCTAAATAATTTATAGGCTGAAGGGCTTGCCAGTTTAATTTAGAATGCTTGAGCTTTTACTGGTTATAAGTTATGCTAGTTTTGGAAATTAATTATTAAAATAATGTATTAGCATAAATAAATAAATTAATGTATTTGCATAAATAAATAAGTTAATGTATTTGCATAAATAAATAAGTTAATGTATTTGCATAAATAAATAAGTTAATGTATTTGCATAAATAAATAAGTTAATGTATTTGCATAAATAAATAAGTTAATGTATTTGCATAAATAAATAAGTTAATGTATTTGCATAAATAAATAAGTTAATGTATTTGCATAAATAAATAAGTTAATGTATTTGCATAAATAAATAAGTTAATGTATTTGCATAAATAAATAAGTTAATGTATTTGCATAAATAAATAAGTTAATGTATTTGCATAAATAAATAAGTTAATGTATTTGCATAAATAAATAAGTTAATGTATTTGCATAAATAAATAAGTTAATGTATTTGCATAAATAAATAAGTTAATGTATTTGCATAAATAAATAAGTTAATGTATTTGCATAAATAAATAAGTTAATGTATTTGCATAAATAAATAAGTTAATGTATTTGCATAAATAAATAAGTTAATGTATTTGCATAAATAAATAAGTTAATGTATTTGCATAAATAAATAAGTTAATGTATTTGCATAAATAAATAAGTTAATGTATTTGCATAAATAAATAAGTTAATGTATTTGCATAAATAAATAAGTTAATGTATTTGCATAAATAAATAAGTTAATGTATTTGCATAAATAAATAAGTTAATGTATTTGCATAAATAAATAAGTTAATGTATTTGCATAAATAAATAAGTTAATGTATTTGCATAAATAAATAAGTTAATGTATTTGCATAAATAAATAAGTTAATGTATTTGCATAAATAAATAAGTTAATGTATTTGCATAAATAAATAAGTTAATGTATTTGCATAAATAAATAAGTTAATGTATTTGCATAAATAAATAAGTTAATGTATTTGCATAAATAAATAAGTTAATGTATTTGCATAAATAAATAAGTTAATGTATTTGCATAAATAAATAAGTTAATGTATTTGCATAAATAAATAAGTTAATGTATTTGCATAAATAAATAAGTTAATGTATTTGCATAAATAAATAAGTTAATGTATTTGCATAAATAAATAAGTTAATGTATTTGCATAAATAAATAAGTTAATGTATTTGCATAAATAAATAAGTTAATGTATTTGCATAAATAAATAAGTTAATGTATTTGCATAAATAAATAAGTTAATGTATTTGCATAAATAAATAAGTTAATGTATTTGCATAAATAAATAAGTTAATGTATTTGCATAAATAAATAAGTTAATGTATTTGCATAAATAAATAAGTTAATGTATTTGCAAATACATTATTTAAAAAGTTTTGAAGATTTTTACTCTGAATTTTTTTTTTTTTTTTTTGAAATATAAAAAAATTCCACAGTTCTAAAAAATTTCAAGGAATTTTTAATTCTGTGTCTGAATATTCATGTATTTTTAATTAGGAAAAAAGCTTGCTTGTGATGAAAATTGGCTTCATAGCAGTAAGAATGAACAAGCAATCATTGAAAGAATTGATGAAATCAGGGTGCCTCCTCCAATGTCTTTAATTAAAAGTATGAAGGCAGCTCATTCAACAGAGTTAAAGATGCAATCAATTACTTGGGAGCTGTTAATGTACTTCTTATTTTCTTTAGTGGTTTTTTATCTTGGTTACATATCACGTGAAAGTTGTGCTTATTATCAAACACGTGATGTAGAAGAACTTTTTAATTTAAAAATAAGACCTACAATGACAGTAAATAAGTATAAAGTCTTTAAAACGGTATGTATTTTTATATTGGTTCTTAATTATGGGTACTCATTTTGTTGTGCTAAGTTTTACAATTAGTCACTGATTTTTAAAGACATACTGAACAACATTTGGTATAGTTTAATAACTGTTCAAGTCAAGATTAGCCTATAACTGTTATTATGTAATTTATAACATGTAGTTCAGTAAAGCATGCAACTAAATGACGTTTTCTAAATTATATTAAATTCATTGAGTTCAGTAAATTTGTTGAACTCAGTGAATTCATTGAAACTTTTTTGTATGAATAAAATAATAAACAGTTCTAAAGTAAAACTCTGCCTCAGAGATCCTAGTTAAGCAAAAACTAAAGAAGATCATACATACTTATTATGGAACCTTATCTTGTCATTGAATTGTATTAGGGTTTCTATACAAAAATTACAGGTGAAAAAAGCATGTTAACTATCTTTGCAACCTCTCCAAATTCTTTTTTCACACACTTGCTTTATCCAATACACTAATTTAAATCTGTCCATTGTTTTTTGTCAAGAGCTTTAAATGGTGGATCTTATTGACTCAATGATTGGGTTTTTTATGCATCATTTTATAAATGTGATGTTTTCTTTCCTAAACCATGTTTGACTGAACAATTAGTAGTTAAACCAGTAACTAATTTGAATTAACAATCAACTAGATATAGATTTTAATAATTTGAATAAATTTATAAATAACGTTAATGGATTTTAAAAGGAGATTTATAATATTTAATTCAATTGTTTCTATGTATTTATACAAATACTGTAATAATAAATGACAAATAATACTTAAAATGTATATTTTACACAACAGTATTGATATTGTAAATATCAATAATGTAATGTTGTTAATATATATGATGTTGTATTGTAAATATCAATGACGTTGTGTTATAAATATCTATTATGTTGTATTGTTCAATATCAATGATGTTGTGTTGTAAATATCAATGATATTGTTTTGTAAATGCCAATGTTGTAAAAATTATGACTCTTTGTAATCTTGCACAATTAATTTTTAAAAATTATAAAATTTTAAACATCATATATATCCTGCATCCATATAAAATCAAATGTATATAGTGTTCATCATAATTTAAAATAATTATTTACTTTAACCTTAATTTGTGATTTTTGAAGTTAAAACTATGATTGGTTAAATTATTTATTGATTTCTATATATACATTCTGTAAATCAATAAGATATTGTGATTCTAAAAATGGAGTTTACTAGTTTACTAGATTACATCAATTTTTTTTATTTTCTTTCTACTCTTTGTTTTTTATTTGGTTACATTTTTTATTTAGTTACATTTACTCTATTTTATTTTAGTTACATGTATTTTTACTTGTACTCAACATTATTTATAACTTTTTTTTTTTTTTCTTTAAAAATATTTATATACATATGTACATCCGTATGATATTTCCACAATATGATATTTCATACATCTTCATCATTTTGTTTCATTTTTACTTTTTTATTTGTGTATATGCGGTTTTTGATAAATATTATTGTTATTTTGTAATTAAATCATTGGTAGATGATACTTTTGTTGACATTTGCTACTTTAAATTTTCAAAAGCTTTTAATAAAAGATAAAAACAGCTATTGACCAAAGTTTTATAAAGCAATAAATATTATTTTAGCTTCAATCTTCTGATGATTTTTGGCCTTGGATGGATTCATTTTTTCTTCCTCTAATTCATCCTGAACCTTGGTTTAATCTTAGTGACAGATACAAAGATAATGATAACATAAACTTTCCTGGAAAAGTATTTTTACCAGATCTTATGTCAAAGGTTGTCAATGGAATAAGAATCAGACAAGTTCGAGTTAAAACAGGTAATAACATTTACCATACACCAGTTTTAATCATCATCCTGTGAAAGTTATTATTTACCATCCTCTAAAATCTTTGACACTAATCATTTTAGTTAAACTTTGTTATTTAAGATACAGGTGGCAGTTTTTTAATTTTTTTTTCCTTATTCTAATTTTTATCTTTACACCCATATCTCATTAAGTCATCAACTCATTAAAACCCTTATTAAGCCCATATTGACCCATATTATCATTAATTAAGTCATATGAAATCTATATCTATATGTTGTATAATATTATATATATATATATATATATATATATATATATATATATATATATATATATATATATATATATATATATTATATATATATATATATATATATATATATATATATATATATATATATATATATATATATATATATATTACCAAAACTTCTTTTCAACACAAAATGTAATATTACTTTTAAAAATAAGACAAATTTTTTAATTATATTTAAAATCATTTTATTTATCAAGACATGTTTTGACTATATATAGTCATAATCAGTTAAAATATATCTGTTAAATACTATATTTTATACCGTTTTTAACAAATATATTTTAACTAATGATGACTATATATGGTCAAAACATGTCTTGATAAATAAAATGATTTTAAATAAAATTAAAAAATTTGTCTTATTTTTAAAAGTAATATATATATACTAAAAATATAAATATTTAATGTATTTTGATTATTTATTTTTGTCTAATCAAAATTCATACTCTAGTTTCAAAGTTTTTCAACATCATCATCATAGTTTATCAATCTTTTTTTTACTTTTTTTACACTTTTTTTTTAAACTCATCTTTTTTTTTAGGCTCCTGTATAATGTCAACTGAGATATCCGCATTATTGAAAATTCCTTGTCTATCAGATTATAAAATGAATGTTGAAGAAGTTCAAGATTTTGACTTTGATTGGCAAAAACCAAAAAAGTATTCCTCTCCAATCAATCCTTTAACAATGCCATGGAGGTACCAAACTTCTGAAGAGTTAGATGGATATCCACTTTCTGCTACTTTAGAAATTTACAGTGGTGGAGGATATGTAGTAGAAATTTTTCCAAAATGGAAAAACAAAGATGTTGTTAATGAACTGAAACAAAAAAAATGGATTGATCGCCAAACACGAGCTTTGATCATTGAATTTGCTTTATTTAATGCAGCCACAAATCATTTTACTATGGTTACTATTGTGTTTGAATTTCCTTCTTTTGGTGGAATGATACCTTACTTTGATGTTACTACATTTAATCTCTACACATCTACAACAGAAAATTCGTTTGTAACTATTGGCTTACAAATTATATTTCTACTTATGATGTTTGTTTTAACCATACGTGAGATCAAGATATTATACAAAAAAAGTTGGAGTTATTTTCATGAATTTTGGAATGTTATTGAAGCTGTACTTGTGGTGCTCTCTATACTTGCTGTTATTTTCTTTTTTTATAAAGGTATTTTGTTTTTATTTATTTATTTTTTATTTATATATATTTTTTGTTTTGTTTATTATTATTATTTGATTAACTAAGTAAATTAAACAATTAAGTTTATGAACTATTTTATAAAGGTATTTTGATTTTATTTTTGTTTTTTAATATTTTTTTTTATTTTACTATTTATTATTATTACTTGATTAACTAAGTAATTACTAACAATTGAATTTATAACAACTAACAATTAAATTTATAACAACTAACAATTAAATTTATAACAACTAACAATTAAATTTATAACACCTAACAATTAAATTTATAACAACTAACAATTAAATTTATAACAACTAACAATTAAATTTATAACAACTAACAATTAAATTTATAACAACAATTAAATTTATAACAACTAACAATTAAATTTATAACAACAATTAAATTTATAACAACAATTAAATTTATAACAACTAACAATTAAATTTATAACAACTAACAATTAAATTTATAACAACTAACAATTAAATTTATAACAACTAACAATTAAATTTATAACAACTAACAATTAAATTTATAACAACTAACAATTAAATTTATAACAACTAACAATTAAATTTATAACAACTAACAATTAAATTTATAACAACTAACAATTAAATTTATAACAACTAACAATTAAATTTATAACAACTAACAATTAAATTTATAACAACTAACAATTAAATTTATAACAACTAACAATTAAATTTATAACAACTAACAATTAAATTTATAACAACTAACAATTAAATTTATAACAACTAACAATTAAATTTATAACAACTAACAATTGAATTTATAACAACTAACAATTGAATTTATAACAACTAACAATTAAATTTATTACAACTAACAATTGAATTTATAACAACTAACAATTAAATTTATAACAACTAACAATTAAATTTATAACAACTAACAATTAAATTTATAACAACTAACAATTAAATTTATAACAACTAACAATTAAATTTATAACAACTAACAATTAAATTTATAACAACTAACAATTAAATTTATAACAACTAACAATTAAATTTATAACAACTAACAATTAAATTTATAACAACTAACAATTAAATTTATAACAACTAACAATTAAATTTATAACAACTAACAATTGAATTTATAACAACTAACAATTAAATTTATAACAACTAACAATTAAATTTATAACAACTAACAATTAAATTTATAACAACTAACAATTAAATTTATAACAACTAACAATTAAATTTATAACAACTAACAATTAAATTTATAACAACTAACAATTAAATTTATAACAACTAACAATTAAATTTATAACAACTAACAATTAAATTTATAACAACTAACAATTAAATTTATAACAACTAACAATTAAATTTATAACAACTAACAATTAAATTTATAACAACTAACAATTAAATTTATAACAACTAACAATTAAATTTATAACAACTAACAATTAAATTTATAACAACTAACAATTAAATTTATAACAACAATTAAATTTTTAAACTTCTTCAAGAGTAATAAAAGTAATTTTTTTGTCGTGTTTTTTGACATTGTTTCAAACCACATGATCTGGGGTTTGATCTACAATTTTTTTAATGTCATTTTTTTATTTTTATATGAGATATACATTTTTTTATTTTTATATAAAATATACATTACACATTTGTTAAAGCAATCTTTTAAATATTATTTTTCTTATTTTTACTATTTTATACATAATATACATATTTTATACAAATTTGTTAAATATTTTAAGATTAAGAAAATAATCATTTTTTTCTTAATATCAAAAATTTTTGTAATTTTGTTGTCAGATTTAAATTAACATATATTTCCTTAGTCTATATTGCATGACTTATTAAGTCATACGATATAAAATGTTTTATTGTATAATGAAGTGTTTAAGTTTTGATTTGGCTTGGTTACTACTTTTGTTGGCATGGTTACTATATAATGTATCTTGGCAAAGAGAAACACAGTTAAAAAATAATCTAGACATTAATTTCTGGTGTTTTAAGTAAAAACATGATAAGGATGGTGAATGCAGTTGGGGATGGCGGTGAATATTTGACCACAGAAAACATTTGACTATTCCAAACATTTACTAAAATGCTCAAAATTATTGCAAGGAACTTTTAAAAATTTTTGTCTGTTAATAAATTATTGCTGAAAATAAGTTCATCAATTCAACTTTAAGAGAATAAATACTTACTATTTTGAAAAAAATCTTGTTATTGGTATAAAAGGTTATTTTTGCTCCAAGAAATCAAGTTGTCACATAAGTTCAATTGTATTCAAAATTGGTTGCCCACTAGGCTTGGGTGAAAACAATTTTTATTGTGAATATTTACAAAGAAAACTATAGTATTATGTCTTTATATAAGTGAAAGTAATTTGGGCAAAAAAAAACAACCTAAAAAACGATAATGCAACTGCCCTATTTTTAGAATCATGTTTGTTTATTTATTAGCTGCATAAACTGCATAAATGTTTTAATTTTCATAAATCTTTTGACCAATTTATTTTTTTAACGCAGTTAATTATGGTTTTATTCAATTATTTTTAAATTATATGATAAGTTTATTTCATTATTAATAAAAATATAATAAATATTTGTTGTGTTATCATTAATAATGATTGTCTTATTGTTTTTCAATACATATATTGTTTAATCAGGAATGATGAACATAATTTTGCAATGTCTCATTTATATTATAACTCTTTTTTAGTGTAAATAAATTAATAAAAATGAATTCAACTCTAACAGAAACCAATGCTTCAAATCAAACTTCAACATTAGGCAATAAAACTTGAAGAGAAAGCAGCCACTATATATTTGGTCTTTCTGCTTTTTTACCAAAGAATGAGCTGCCTACTATCAATCAAATTGTCAGACTTTTTACAGCTAAAAAAAAGCCAAGCGCACAAAATTCAGCTATTGTTAAAAAATTACAAATGATATATTGGAAATAGGGAACATGGCATTCTAAAACAAATAAATATTGACTTACTGTTATAATAAATAACAAAATTTTAATAAAAGATTATAATAAATAAAGTTTAAGATTGTAGTACAATTACAAAAGTTTACTGCATTTTCCATTTGACATTTGTTCTTATATATATATTACTCCATTTTGAGGATTTTTATAGAGATATAACTGCAGAGTTGAAATTCTTACATAACTAAAGAACTATAGATAAAATATACATTGGTGGAGTAGACGTTAAAATTATCAAAAAAATTAGAGAATTGAATAAAAGATAGCTAGTTTAAATAATAGAGAAATTATTGAAAAACATAGAAAAGCTGATATAAGAAAAACAGGCAGTTTAAACGAATAGAATGAACCATTTTGTGATCATGAAACAGAGAATAACGATCAACAAATTCAGAGATGATGCAAGCATGGAAACATTGAGTTAGGAAATTGAACCAGAATCAGACAGTTAAAATTCAGGAAATAGTAAACAAATGAGGGTATCTTTAGCAAATCTAGCAAGAGAGGCTGACAGTGTGGTGTTTCAAATGGTGCTGCAGCCTGTCTTGCCACAGCTGTGTTGATGGATTTTGGTATTGTTACTAATACAGATTAAAGTAAAGTTATTGAAAAAAATAAAATAAGAAGAGAGAGGTTAAAGTCAAGAAAAAAGTTTCAAGAAAATGATAAAACATGCACTGATAAGATTACTTCTCTATATTTTGATCGTAGAAATGATGACACATTAACCAGGGAGAAAGAAACAGATAAATCTTATGTGGGTACTAAACAAGAAAAGCAATATTTTTTGGTTGCAGAACCTTGAAAAAAACATCACATCAAACTTCTGCACACAAATGAACTCTCATTAAAGCATTTGTTTATACAGCTCGATGGTCAGACATACGGCAGAAGTTCTTTTACAAGACCAATCAGTTAACCCATTCAATTGCCAGTTGCAAAAATTCAAACTAATATAGAAGGATATGGATTACCTATATTATCAAAAGAAGCAATCCTCAATCTTAGTAAAGATAAGCAGTATATGTACAACATTATTCTTTGCCATTGTTGGAATAATAATCAAAGAGCTTGCCAGGAAAAAACCTGGACCTATAAATCAAAGTAGGTTGTTAACTCTTGCTAATCCAGTTTGTAGTTTATTTGGATTAATTATGGATATGTACTTTACATATCCATAATTAATCCAAATGAAAATCTTAAGTTAATATCTCAGTTCATCGTCCTTCACTTAAGGTTAAGTTGGTTTGCTATTAAGTTTTTCATAAAATTTTTTTTTTTTTTACCTTAGCCTATTAGCTTAGAATGAGCAATAGCTCATTCTAAGCGATCAAAAGCTAACAGTTATCCCAGTAAAAACTCATATAAAAAAAGAATAGTCAGTTTAGCTGTATTTGACTCAGAGATAAGAATTATGACAATAAATGATTGTATTTTTGTTTCTATGGAATAAAAATATAGCAAATTGACAATAAGTATGACATTTTTTAAGTCTTTATATTTGAAGTTCCCTATTAAAATTACAAAAAATACAATGATTTGTTAAGATGATGATCTTATAATTCTTTGAAATAAGATAAAATTTGAAAAACATTATTATAATTTCAGAATAAATTGGTTTCAAAATAGATACAGAAACAATACTTAAACGCAGTAAATGTTTAAGACATGACATTTAATCCTCTTGAAAACCAGCCATTTTAAAAATATATCAACCAGCTTACATATAATCAAACAGGTTCCAAACCAGACTACTAAAGTTCAAATACTACTGACCAAAATTATCCAAATACCTAAGCATATCCTGATTAGTAATAAGTTTTTCAAATAAGCATATCCTGATAAAAGTTCTTCAAATGAAATCATTTTTAACAAAGTTTGTTTTTACCCAATAAAAACGTCGTTAAAAACAAGGTTTTTATTGGATAAAGGGTTCAATTATATATATATATATATATATATATATATATATATATATATACATATATATATATATATATATATATATATATATATATATATATATATATATATATATATATATGTATATATATATATATATATATATGTATATATATATATATATATATATATATATATATATATATGTATATATATATATATATATATATGTATATATATATATATATATATATATATATATGTATATATATATATATATATATATATATATATATATATATATATATATATATATATATATATATATATATATATATTAATGTTAATTCACCTCCACAAGGCTGAGAAGGCCACCACAAACAAGGAGGTTACTTTGTTGTAGTTTTAATCCTCTCTCAATTATATAACTCCAAAACACGAACCTTGACAAACAATGCTGCTGCACGGAGAAACAAAGGGAACTTCCAGGGATGAGGATCAAACTAGGAACCTATGAAGCGAGCGCACTATCACTATACCACTATCGCATTTACTAGAAATAACTTAATAACTAATTTCACTTAATAATAACTTTCTTCACTTCAATATTTTTCTTGATTACACTTATTTTTGTTTTACAACACAATTTATTTAAAAAGTTAAAAGTTGCAGTTGTACTAGTAGCACACAAAGTTTTTTAAAAATATATGCAGAATATTTAACATCGTTAATAAATTTTTAGTAAATTCCCTTGACAGGTATAAAGTTTATATAAAAAAATCTTGTAAAATGGGTCAAAATTGTGTACAACATATTACATGATATATATGTAGGAAAAAATATAAGTTGACTTGCATACAAATTTTGCACTGTATTGCTTGCATACAAGACATACACTGTATTGTTTGCATACAGGACATATACTGTATTGCTTGCATACAAATGTTTCTTTATAGATAAGTTACTTGTTTTATTAAGTATTTTTTTAATTTACTTTTTTTGTTATGTCTAATTTGATTAGTTATGAAGATATTTTTTTAAATTTAGTGCAACTTGTTAAAAATCTTCTTCATCGTTTACCGAAAAAACAACCACAAAAGTTTATCAACTTTCAATTTGCTTCATACTGGGATTTAACGTACACTTACATTGTCTCGCTTCTTGTTTTTTTTGTGACATTAAAATTTATAAAACTTCTTCGATTTAATCAACGAGTTTCATTGCTTTCCTCTACATTGAATGTTGCGTTTTATCCACTTTCAATGCTTGGGATTACTTTTGCTGTAGCTCTTTGTGCTGTAATTTCATTTTGTACCATTGTGTTTGGTGAGTATAAATTTTTTATAAGTTTTTAGTATAATTTTTTTTTTTAAACATAATATTTTATTTATCAAGATCATTCTATAACAAAGTTTTTTTTTTAGGGGTCTTGCTGGACGGTTATCAAACATATCTAGGAACAATTTCTTCAGTAATATCTTTGTTTCTGGGAAAGTTTAGCTTTTATACTTTTGTAAATGCTAGCCCTGTGCTTGGTCCCCTATTTTTTTTAGGGTTCAATATTTTCATGATTTGGGTACTTATGAGCATGTTTATATCTATACTAAATGATTCTTTAGTATGTGTGCATTTAAATAAAGATTTCCAAAACAATGACTACGAGATGCTAGACTATTTTCTAACTCGTTTTAAAGGTTTGTTTTTCAAAAATGTTTAATATTTATGACATATATGTTTGATTTAATATATATACATATATATATATATATATATATATATATATATATATATATATATATATATATATATATATATATATATATATATATATATATATATATATATATATATATATATATATATATAAACTACTAAAAACACTTATCTAACTTATTTCTTCAACAACTTATTTCTCCATCAGTAGGTTCATCAAGAAGAATGTTTAAATATCAAAAAATTCAAATTATAAAAAAATATTTCACAGGAAGTTGGGAATTGATATAATTAATTGTATTAATTATTATTATACTTTTTATAAACTGGTCTTTTTTAAAAACTGTGCCTACCTATAATATCATTTCTAAAAAATGTATACTATGTTTTCAAGAAAAATTTGAAATTACTACTCATTTGGATTAAAAAAATTTACTGAATAAAAAATCTGAATTAATTTCTAAATGCCGACATAAAAATAAGTACCTTCTAAAAAATTATAAAAACAAATGACCAGACTAAAATTATCTTAATTTTAAAAAATTCTTTTTTTTTTAATTCTATAATTTTTTCAATTTAATGCTGTTGATGCAACTTCCTGGTTGCAAAATAACTACAGTTATTATATGATTAATTATAAAAATGCCCACCTTTCTGTGAAATATTTTTTTCTATTATTTGATTTTTTGATGTTTAAATATTCTTCCTGATGAACTTACTGATGGAGAAACAAGTTGTTGAAGAAAAAAAAATTTATATATATATATATATATATATATATATATATATATATATATATATATATATATATATATATATATATATATATATATATATATATATACTCTTGCATGTCTCTTGCGTAGCATCAAAAAATGTTTCCCATAAACTGTAGTTTTAAAGAGCGCGTTAATAAACCAGACCAGAAAAAGTTTTAAAAATTAAATTTTTTTTTTAATTGATAGACTGCCTGGCCAAACCGAACCCTCAGTCGATGTAGCAGCATTCTCTTGCGAGTCAGGCTATTTGTCAGTCGTTGTAGCAGCACTCCCTTGCGAGTCAGGCTATTTGTCAGTCGATGTAGCAGCAATCTCTTGCGAGTCAGGCTATTTGTCAGTCGATGTAGCAGCACTCCGTTGCGAGTCAGGCTATTTGTCAGTCGATGTAGCAGCACTCTGTTGCGAGTCAGGCTATTTGTCAGTCGATGTAGCAGCACTCCGTTGCGAGTCAGGCTATAAGATAGTCGATGTAGCAACATTTACGCATGTTTAAAAAATGTTTTTTATTAAATCAATAACAAAAACACCACTAATTAAAAAAAACTTTCTAGTCGTTATAATTGCGGTTTTTTAAAAATTTTTTAAAAAACAATTAAATTTAATGTACTTCCGCATAAATTAATTGCTTTGACATTTCGATGACAATCAAAAACAGCTTAAGAGACAAGGTAATTAAAATTGTAGTCGTAAGAGACTTTTTTTACATTAAAATGCTCTTAAAGCTACACTATATGGGTATATATATATATATATATATATATATATATATATATATATATATATATATATATATATATATATATATATTCTACAAAATAGAGTACTAAATAGAGTAAATAGAGTGCTAAATATTCTTAAAAAGAAGAGAGCAATAATAAATTAGTAAAAAATCACTTGACTAATTTTTTTCATTTAACATTTTCATCATTTCTGATGAGTCTTGATTGTAATTTTTAAGGTCTAAATATTTAAAAATTATAGGATCTTAATTGAAAGTGGAAAACGCTGATCTTGTGCTCCTTGTAATTCTTTTGGTGTTTTAGATATGATTTTACTAAAACTGGTATTTTGTACTTCTACAACAGTATCCAATCATCACACTTTTTATAACTACTTTAAGACTGATTCTTTTTCATTCATAGTCTTTCTGTCAATCATTGGAAGCACATTCAAATAAATAGAAAAACTTTCCTGCAAAAACATGCTAACATTATGAAGTTTTTAAAGCGAGAAATTTGTAAAAGTTAAAAAGCTTAAACATTTTTTGTTTAATGTTTAACAATTTTATTTTTGTATTTTTTCAAAATTATGTAAGCTTTTTTGAAATTTTTTCTCAACTGTTCATTATACCCTTCCCGTCTCCCTTTTTCAGCACCTAAGAATATATGAACAACAAAATGGAGCAAAGCGTTAAATTACTAAAATTGCAAAATTTTGATTGTTTAAACCAGTAAATAAAAAACCAACCCCAAGCCACCCCATTATATATTGTGGTATAGTGGTAGAACGGTAGTGGTCTAGCAGTAGATTGGTAGTAATGTAGCAGTAGAGCACTTGCTTCCCAAACAAGGTTTCCACCATGCCCTTGGTAGTATTGTGCTCATCTTGTTTTTTTCTGCATTGGCCTTGTTTAAGAGGTTCGTGTTTTGGAGTTAAAGTTGGAGTTGAGAGAGGGTTATACCCACAAAAGCCTCTTTGAATGTGGTGTTCCTTATAGAGATAAATAGCATATACATAACAAACTAACCATCAATATTTTTAAATCAAAGTTTAAAATTGGTCTCATCAACATTAAAGTTTGTCTCTTTAACAATGTCAAATGCATGTAAATGAAAAAGACACAATGTAAATTATTCTTTTCAAAAAAAGTTCTAATTGATAAAAAATTTAGTAGTCCTAAATAAAATGTCTCAATCTTTTTCTCATTCCTGTGGCACTGAGTTTTAGAGATTTTCAAAAATATTTCAAGAGTTTTATTTAATATTTGTTGGAAGTCTTTAAACTTCAATATACTTCTAATAAAGCGTGGAAAGTATTCAAAATAATTGTGTTTGCTCAAATATTATTTACAATCTTTTAGTGTTTTATATCTTGTACACGTTTTATATCAAGAACTCTAAAGAATTAAGTTTAATTTAATTAATTCTGATTTTAAAAGCTAGCCTCTTTTTAAAGCTAGCCTCTTTTTAGAGCTAACTTATTTTTAGAGTTATTTTCTTTTTTCTAATTTTTAATATTTAGTTTACAAATTGAAGCTAGTCTCTCTGTTCACAATGCAAATACAAAAAATTTCATCATACAAATTTTCGAAATTTACATTAAAATAGTTCATTAATAAAAAATTCTTCTAACAAATTATTAGCGTGCATACTTGAGCATTTGTTGGTAATAAAAAATATTCACCAGAAATTCTTAATCTTTTAAGTATTTTGAATTTTCAATATCTTTTCACAGTCATATTAGAGATGACTAAAAAATACCAAAATTCTTAAGAAACTTACATCTAAGTTTGGTTAGTTAGAGGATGTTTGTTTAAACAAATACTTTACAAATGTTGATGATTAATTGTCAATTAACTGCTATCAATATATAACAATATTATCTAACAAAACCATTTGACAATACTAACTAACAATACCATCTAACATATTGTTTTAGAAATATAGAAAGATTTACTTTTAAAAGTGTTACACAACAAAAGCTTTAAAATTGCTCTCAGCGCTCTCAAACTCTCATAGAAGTCATTAATCAAATCCTCACTAATTTATTTTTATTAATTTTAATTGTGTAGAAAAATAAATATATATATTAATATGTAGTTTGAAGTCTTCGTAGAAATAATTTAGATAAAAAAAGAACTTGTCTGAGTAAAGTTTAAAAAACATACTCAAAAACAAAAAAAAGTTGAATTTTAAAATTTATTAATTTGTAAAAAAATTTAAAATTTTTAGTAAAATCTAAATATTTTTATATTATTATATTTATTAAAGTGTCCAGTTTACAGAGTGTATTTTCGTAATTAGTTTACTTTATATTTTTATTATTTATTTCAGCATGGTTTGGATTAAATACAAAAACTTATTTAACAAACTTGCTGCCGTTTGGATTAGATGTTGCACAAAAAAGCCCTGACTATCTTGATTATCCTACTGCATCATCTAGGCAGGACTCGTTGCATTTGTCAGAAATTTACAGCATGACCTGGTTTGCCTATGATGTTCCTTATGAAATTTTTATAGAACAAGAAGACGACAAGAACATGAGCATAATGCAAGAAAAATTTAATGATTGTTTACATATTTTGTATAAACGTAAATTCGTAGAAGATGAACAATAATTTAATGAAATTCGTAGATTCTAGGAAACGATTCAATGAAATTTGTAGAAGTTAAAAAGTTATCGGATTTTAATATTAAAATATGCGTTGTGGCAATTTTTTAGCACGTTTTGTTACGTATATGTAGAGTTTCTAACCGTCTCCTATCGACTGGAATAGTTCCGGAGACAAGACGTATGTATGGGGCACAGATCTCTTTGTTTCGCAAATAATTTTTTTATGTAAGTAAATGTTTATAACGTGCTCATAGTGTTTCAGAAAAATTTAATTTTAAGTTGTTTTACGTCTGATTAAAAAAAAAAGGTTTTGCGTTTCTTTTTAAACGGAACACATTAAAATAATAAATTACACATTCCAGTTTACTGTTGGATTTGTAAACAAATCCAATATTAAATTACACACATTTTTACTTTGTATTGTTTTGTTGAATATAAATATATAACATTTTAACCTAACATATTTAATAAATTTTTTTACGTGTTGTAAAAAACCGCATTTTTTAAATCTATCACCAAAAGGTAATTTTTGAGGGGTAAAGTATGACAAAGAAATCTTCCCCAATTGTAATTATATTATGGAAACCTCTAAAATATGTAAGTTACATATTTTAGAGGTTTCCAGTAAGTTAAGCAGTAATTTTTGTTATTTTTTTAATTACTTACTTGTCCAACTTATAACATAATTTTCATCTTTTCTCGTTTTTCATTCTCCCCGCCGAGTTTCAAAGTTTTGTAAAAATTAATTAGATATTTTCTTACATTTATCGCTAAATGTTGAAAAACCAGCTCTTCCGTAAAAAGCAAGCCAAAGTAAAATTTGATTCAATTTATTAAAATTGTTGATAAAATATTTTTTTTTTAATGATTTTTGATCAATAATTTTAGGCCCAGTTTCTATTTTATTAGTTGTTTTTGTTTTGTTTTTCTTTTTTTTTTTTTGTTTTTTTTTTAAAAAATCTGTCAGTAACCCTACGTATACGTAACATCTTTCCTTTTACGTAAAGTTTTATGAAACTCATTGCGCTTTGCGCCTGAAACTTTCATCGCGTAAAAAATACCATTTTAAATTTGTGTAGCAGTTTGCAATACATATTCAAAAAAATTAAGTTTTTTTTTATTAGTTAATTTTATTTATTGGTTACCGCTACTTCTTGAATGAATTCCAAACACTTTGAATTGAAAAAATATTCTATTGAGACTTCTTGCATTAGCGATAATATGCTGTGAAAACAAAACCAATTGAGAATATCAAAATTAATTGCGTTACAGTTGCAAGCAAGTACATATAAAAATGTTTAGTCATCAAAAAGCTTGGATGTTTTCTTTAAGAATTATGCGTAACCATGAAAATCTAAAACCAAACAAAAAAAAACGAATTTCGGAGATTGAGATATCTAACTCTCAGGCGTAGAACGAACTTCATACTAAGATATGTTCGTTCTTATGTTAAGAGAAAATGCTTTATAAAAATTACTATGATGATTTAACCCAGGGAATAAAAAAAACCTAAAAACTCGTTTCCCCCAATCCCTAATGTAAAAACAATTTTAGAAAATATTTTTTTAGGTGCTCCAAGATATCCTTACGGTCTTATTACAGAGCACCACGGAAGAGCATTTAAAAGGAAGTTCACGTCTTCTTCCTTACTGATGTTATAAAACTTGCACAGAGGTGGCGTTGAACCACGAATCTCTAGCTTCTGAGAAAAGTGCGCTAACCACTGAAGTTCAACCGCATTGCAGTTCTTCGGGACTATGCTTGAAACTTTTTATTTCATAAACAAAAAGAAAACGACATCAAGACTGTACTTAAATGCTTATTCTTAATACGTTGATGCAAATAGGCACGTTTATAATAATTTAAAAATATAGTATATTGAAGGTTCGCCAATAATATTCAAGAAAAACATTTAAAATGGCGCAACAAAAAGACAAGCAACAACTTTTTTATAATCTTCATATTAAATGAATAAAGCAGGGCCGCCGACACAGGGGGCCAGAGGAATACGTGCCCTCTCCCCCCCACACACATACACACTTTTGAGTAAAAAGACTTTTTTTCAAAAGGACTTTATGTTTTTACATAGAGAATTATACGATTTGTTAATATGCAATAAGTTTATGTCATAAATTGACTATGAATTGACGAAAAGCGAATAGAATTGTTTATATCGTTAATATAAATTAAAAACAAAAGAGAACCAAAAACAGAACCTTGAGGAACACCACACACACATATTAGTAGAATTATCACCATAAATACTTACAAATTGCTTCCGATCTGTTAGATAAGATCAAAACCAGTCACTTACAACACCACACATACCTTAGTGCTTTAATTTAGAAATCAAAATGTTACGATCAACGGTATCAAAAGCTTTTTGTAAATCTATATAAATACCACAAACAAAATAACCAGTGTTAAGAGCTTTCCTGATTTTTTCAGTTATACTTATCATACAATGCATTGCAGGTAGAATGTTTTGAACGAAAACAAAATCGAAATTCATTTCAACAGTTAAAAGAGTTAAGAAAAGAGTACACTCTAGAAAAAATAAGTTTTTTAAGAAGTTTACTAATGTTAGATAAAAGAGAAATAGGTCTGTAGTAAGTACATAAAAGTTTAAAGCCTTTTTTAAATATTGGTCTAACACAAGATAATTTTAAAATATTTGGAAAAGTTCCATTTATGAATAATAAATTGAATAGTTTAGAAAGAATATTTGAAAACTCATAGTTAAAATTGATAAGAATGTTTGTGTGAATGCTATTTGGGCCTATTGATTTTATCAGTTTCAAATTAGATATAAGAGATGAAACTTCATGAATATTCGTTGGAGATAGGAGTAGACTATGTAAATGGATATTTAAGATATTTTGTATAGTTTATGTAAGACAAATGAATATTGGATTTAAGTTTTTGTGCGACGTTTGTACAAAAAGTGTTGAACTTTTCAGACATAAGATTTGTTATATGTATCATTATTTTGTAAACAGTTGGGAGATGAGTGATTAGAATTTTTGACATTTATTATATTATTAATTCCTATCCTAATATTGCGAAGATTTTTTACTTTTTCTGTAAAGTACTTTTTAAATTGCATTTTTTTACTGAGCTTAATTAAGGTAATTATCATGTATTTATACTGTTTGAAAGTAGTTTTAAATGTTTTTATGTTCCTAATATTTTTTGATCTTAACATTTTAAAAAAACAAAGATTGTGTTATTGAATCGATTTTAAGATTCCCTTTGTAATCCAAGGTTTAAATCGACGCTTGAATTTCTTAATACTCACTTTTTTAAGTGGGGCGTAGCGATTTAAAATCAAGGTTGTTTCAAATATAAACATTTGGAAACAAAAGTTAACATCACTGTTTTCTATCAGATTATCCCAATTTATTTTTAATAAATCTGATTTGAAGTTTATTTTATTAAAGTTTTTAAAATCTAAAAACTTTAATAAAATAAACTTTAATAAAATAAGTTAAGCATCAACATACATATTTTGAAGTTAGCTCCATATCTAAAAATTACCTCAAACGTCAAAAAAGCTGCGGCAATCACTGAGTTTATCCCAAAGTTGTCAAAACTTTTGATTATGTACCTCAAATAAAGACTTAAGTTTAAATAAGGATTTTTTTGAATTAAACGGTAAACTAATACTACGCGTTTCTAGCTCTGATTAGGTTCTATTATTGCTAGGTTTGTTCTCAATGGTGTTTCTCGAGATTCTGTTCTTAATATGCTCCTCTTTATTGCTTACACAAACAATCTTGTCCAACTTATTAAAATTTCAGAGATATTTGTCAACAAATTTGGCATTGACCAATTGAAACAGTTTAAAAAAAAGTAATTTTAAAAGTAAAAATTAACTCCGAGTCAATTAGACCAAGTATTTGTTATTAGGCTAAGCTAATAATTGGATATACAAACGTTAATTCAATGAAAAATAAATTTTAACTTTTAAAGAAACAAAATTCAAGTCAAAATATATATACTTATGATGTCTAAAGCCAAGATCAACCACCTTTTCCAATAATGGCAAAAAAATGGCAAAACTATTTATGGGTTAAATATAGACATATGATACATGTTTATAGAGGTGTTTGAGACCAAGGATTTCATTTTTTGGCTCCATTTTAATCTTGGAGTGGTTATAAATACATAAGTGATTTTTTAATATATATATTTATAAATATATATATATTTATAAATATATATATTGCAGTAATATATATATTTATAAATATATATATATTTATAAATATATATATATTTATAAATATATATATATTTATAAATATATATATTACTGCAATATATATATTAATTAAATATATATATTACTGCAACTATCTATAGGTGATTGCAGTCAGGGAGTTTAAAACTGGGCATATTCGGTCTTTAAAATTGGTCATGACGGCTCAGGTGACCATTTTAGGGGTGGTCAAGGGTGGTCCTGGAATATCCTGATGGTTTTTCAATTAAATAGTACATGTTGTGTGTCTACATACTGATAATTGATATCAGGAAAATTAATTCTGGTCATTTTTGGTCTTCAGGAGTGGTTATAATAGCACAGGTAAGTGTGGTCATTAGTTGTCAAAATATTTTCGTGGTTTTTATTTATTTTATGTACTTAATTTCTTTGATATTGTGAATATAAACAAGTAACATTCAATAAACTTGAACTTTAGTAACATATTTTATTTTTATATATATAATAATCTAGGTGATGACACACATCATACATAAGTACATCAAGAGCCCCTGGCCCCCTCAGGTTGATTAGAGCCTTTAACTTTTCCTTGACTCCTTCTTATTCTGGACATCTTAGTAACGTAAATGCAAAGCGTTTTCATCATAAGATCAACATATGTTTGAGGCCTGGACAATTTCATTGTGTAGTGCTCTCTGTTGTTTTAGTCTAAAACATTAGGGTGTATGAAATAACTATTTTCACAATTACTGTTTATCCATTTTATGGGCGTTATTTAAATGAACAAAACAA